GGACATCTGGACTACCCCGAGCCAGGCAGGAAGTGAAAACATTTCACAGATGCTTTCATTTACATAGATATTTGCAGTGCATAACTGACAAGGTGTATAAGCGTCATCACTTCTATTTTCCAGATAGGAAAACGACACCACAGAACTCTGCAGCTATGCTAAGTGGCAGAGCAATAAATAGAGCCTTCATCTCCCACTTTCTGGGGCCAATTCTTTCTGAATCACACTGCCTGCCTGACACTGTGGGGCCAGCAGCAGCATGAGGCTCCTGCTCCACATAAGTTTTTGGGAGGAGCAGGTCCTTGCATGCTGGGATGGGGAATGCTGCAAACACCTCCTAAATGAACTACCCCATACTCTGCTTTCAGTGCAATACGGTCACAGGCATCATTAGAGCTCAGATGCAGAACATTAAGACCATAATAACACGCAAGATCACATGAATCTGGTTCTGAATGATGGTTCTTGAAGCTTGGTTATTTCAATAAAAGATAAAACCATAGTTATTATTGTAGCCAAAGAAGGAGCACCTCTTGAACATGTCCCTACTCCCCTGCCTGCTTCACAGCCCACTCCCAACTCTGAAGAAGATCAGTCGAGTCTTTTGTGCAGCCTCCCAGCCCACATACAGGTAGGAAGAGCTGAAAAACTTACACCGCAGCAGAACTCTTCCAAAAAAATCACTATATTCCCACACAATAAGTGCTTGGGGGAGGGAAAGTCCCAGTGCAAGCTCTTCAAATCTGTCTCTATTCACTCCTTGGCGAACCAAGGCTACAATTCCCATCTAAATGCCTCAATGGCTACCTGGGAAGGATTCCTCGAGCAAAACTCTTCAGAAAGGGTACTAACTGCACAAATACTCGGTAGTTTACTCCTCTGAAGTGCTACCCATCTGAAATCCGAAGGCTATTCAGGGTGCTCCCAATAGCTAATTGCAGCCTGGCAGACACCGAGATACTACAGTCCAACAGAGTGGGCTTCTCGGCCGGATCCTAGAGGGTTGTCAGCAAGTCCTCGCTTTCTTCACACTAAAGCCGGGCTCAGCTGCCCATTTCAAACTTGGTCATTATCTCTTCCCTTTCACCCAAGGTATGACTTTTCATCAGTCCCCACAAATTAATACCTGCAGTCTTGTTAAGATGGAACACTGAGCTCACCCCCCACTTCCACCCTTTCTCACCTTTTCACCCTTTCCAGCCTACTAACACTCTCCTGAAAATTTAAGTGCTGGAGTCAAACCACAGACATTGCATTTTGGCTGCAAGTTAAATAACCCCCTGCAGAGCTGCTACACACCTTTTAACACCTTCTGTCCCCACACACCTCGCAACACGGCAGCACAAGCAGCTTCACAACCAACCAGTGCCACAGGCAATTACAGAACAACACATGACTACTAAAGTAGCCTCCAGTCCACTTCGGTTATTGTCCAAATGCTTCCAAATAATAAAAAAAAAAAATCAGGATTTAACAGCTGTACAAGTCAATATCATAACAGCTTTGCTCTGAAATAAACAGCTCATAAGCTCCAACTGCTCTGTTACTTTTGCACAAGAAGTACACCTGCATCCAGGGAACATCCTGAATTCTAGTACAACTTACTAACAGAGCATGAGCCCGAGCTATGTTTCAGCGAGGCTGGATATAATGCAATGTCCTGCTTTAGCCCCATTTCATCCTTGCAGGGGAAGGAAAAACTCTTGAACCAACCCAGATGTGGGCAAAACCCACCTTCAGAGGGTGTTTTCCGTTTGGTAACCAAGTTGCTTAATTTCAGAAGTTACAAAAGGCTGTTCTATGATGGAGAGAGCTGCAGCTCCCCAGCCTTAACCTGCTCCCTGTGCTCTCTCCTCACTGATACCTGACAGAACCACTGTTCCATTTCTTCTGCTCCACATGAGAAATTAGTGATAAGGAGCTGTGAAATTATCGACCTATTAGGAGAATGAGTCAGTGACACACGAAAAACAAAACCCACTTAACATGGCAGGATCAGCTTAAGAGCAAAGTCTGATACTGAGACAACAGCTCAGTGCCAAGTTGCAGAATAAATGAGGAATGTAGTAAAAAGAAACAGGGAACCAGAGAGGTCCAGCCCTTGGAATAAACCCTCTCCTAAAGTTACCATACTGTATCACTAAGTTTCTCCTGCTCATACTGCTTCTATTCCTCCAACATGAAAATACACAATTTTAAGTGGAAATACCACTAGAGCAAAATCTCTTTGTAGACTACCATCATAAATTAAATATATATATATATATAAAAGGTTTACTATTATTTTCAGCAGCACTTAAACCTAGCCTGGCTTGCCCTTAAATACCTTCAATTCCTCAGGTAAGCTCAATGAAGGCCTTGAGCACGAAGCCCTCTGGAACAGGCAGGTAATTGTGACCTGGATCATCTCAGAGCTGCAGCACACAGCTCAGGGTCCTTGTTCTCCTCGGGCACACCTGAGGAGCGATCCCAGCAGGAGAGGAGGCCACACACGGGCACTGAGCGCTGTCTGTCCTGTGCCATCACCCAGGAGCTGCGTCACACAAACACAGCTCCAACGCCACCACCTTTAGGAAGCTGTTCAAATAAATGAGCCTTTGAAGTCAGGCCTTACACAAAGCTTTATTAAAAGGTTTTATTAAGATGTCACCATAAAGTGAAATAGCTTTAATACAAAATATTTAGCGATATTACTCACTTACTGAAACAAAAATACTTTTAAACCCTGCATGTCCCTTCCAGCATCTTTATGGACTATTTACTCACTTTTCCAGTTTCAGCCAGCTGGCTGAGCTGCCCTTTTAAGCTCTCATGCACACACTGAAAAAAGAAAAAAAGCTCAAGAGTGCATCCAAAAAATGCACTGTAAGACCAAAGAAAAAATCTCTGAATTTAAAAAAACAAGGCACCAAGGCACTATATAATGACAAATTTGGAAACCCATACCAAACCGTGGTTTAATTAATTTTTTTAAGAAAGGTATCTGTCAAATAATGTAAAAATTTGTTTTGTTAACAGTGAAGAATGCTGAAAGCATCCTCAAATGTGTTATACCTAGTTTACTCAACTATGCAGAAAAGCATACCAGGAATCAAAAAAGGAATCAACTTGTACTCAAGGAACTAAAAAAATTAAACACAAAATCAAAATACAGCTAACAGCAGATGTACTCACACTGCCTTGCAAAAACAACAAAGCAGCAATTCCAAACAATATCTGCAATTTATTTGAGTATGTTTTTTATCTGAACTTTTAAATTTTTACAAGAAAAACATTATGGGAGAGGTGTCATTTATTGTAATCCCAAAATATTCTGCTAACTAGGAGAAACTTCTTAAGCCAGAGACCCAAAAGAAACAGCATCACCCATTCACCCATGATGAGCCCACAAAGAGCTCATGGACCACAGGTGAGCTCCTGATAAAACCTAAGCTCATTTACAATGCTTCACTGGGAGTGAAAAATGCATGTAAATATTTCATATTTTCAGTCAGAAATCAGCCTGAAAACATCACTTTCCATCCTCTTTTTAAATTCTGCTTTCAGACTATGGCCTTGCCTTTCCTACCTCTTCCAGATGACTTTACCCCCCAGTCTCTGGCTCAGAGCAATAGTCTTTGTTGAGTGTCACTGGGGGTTTCACTACCCAAGTGACACTGAACATGAAAAAGGCAAGTACAAAAGTAATGTCCTAGCCAGTTTATATCTGAGAACCCTACTCTTCAGGAGTCGATTCTCCAAACTTGGGCTCTCCAAGACGGTGACCAGCTATTTATCCATCATGGAAGAGCCCATTCCAGTGGAGGTGTCAAGTGAATCAGTAAGACAAGGCTTAACAAAACCAAAACTTCCACTGTAAATCTGGATTCAGTGCTAGAAGAGGTGGGATGCCTTCCTCCCTAGTAGATGATGAAGACACTGCAATGTGCTTACACTTTACACCAGTTCCTAGAAAGAAACAAAACTACTAAATCCCTAAACGTTTATGTTTACTGTACCTTATCACCCCAAACACCAGTAACATCAATATACGAACACTTATCTAATGAGTAGATGCTCAATGTGTATCTCACCCTTTGCACACCCAGAAGACAGAAACGAAACAAAACAACTTTCCTAACAAACCCCACAATTTCCAGCTCATACCAACCCCTTACGGCAGTTTTGAATTTGGATATATGGGGTTTTTTTTGCTTTCTAAATTCACAACCAACACGACTAAAAACAGCCCCCGGAAAAGATGCTCAGCCCCTGTCCCAGGACCCGCCTTAGGGTTTCCCCAGCTTGCAGCACAGATGCTCCCACACAGAAATGAGAAACTCCTTCTTGAACAAAAAAAAAAAAAAAAAAAAAAAAAAAGCCCTAAAACATCTTTCCAAACCTACCAAACGAGCTCGCCCAGCGCACGAACTCCATCCTCGCTCCCTCCCCCACGCCCCAGCCGCATTTCGGCCTCAGCGGCCCTTTTGTAGCTCCCGCACAATAACAAACCGGCCGAGCCTTCTGGATGCCACCCCCCCCCCTTGTTTTGCTGAGACACACACACACGGCGCGACAAAAATATCTTTGTGTCACACTCCAGACGACCAAAAAAAACAACCTGCCTTTGCGGCGGGGAGCCCCCCGCGCCGGCCGCACCCGCCGGGGAGCGCAGCGGGCCGGAGCCCGGACAAGGGGCCCGAGCCCGGGCGGCCCCACCGGGGATGGGCCCGGCCAGGCCCCGCGGCGGGCCCGTCCCCGCAGGGAGAAGGGGGGCGGCTCGCACAATAAACACCGGCGGCTACAGCAGCGAGAAACCGGGGACAGTCACCCCCCAACCCGCCCGGGGGACCCGCCCGAGCCGGGAGGCCGCGGGGTGCCGCAGCCGCTGGCTCCGGCTCCATTTTAGCGCTGCCTCGTCCCACCTTCCCTCTCCCTCCCCTTCCTCCTCCCCCCCCCCCGGCCCCACTCACCGCCCCGAATATCCGCGGCCGCCGCCGCCGCCGGCCCCCGATACCCACCTGTGGTGGTGGCGGGGAGCCGGGGGTGCCTGCGGAGCCGGGTGCGGACGGGTGATGGGCGCGGGGCGCGGCGGATGGCGGCGGATTGCGCGGGGCGGCGGCGGCGGCTGCGGCCGATCCGGGCACTCGCTGCCTCCTCCTCCTCCTCCCCCTCCTGCCGCGCCGGCCCGGCCCCGCCGCGCAGCGCCACCTGCAGGGCGCCGCCGGCAGCGCGGGGGCGGCGCTGAGGGGCGCTCCCTCAGGGGGACAGGGAGCAGCCGGAGAGCTCCTGCGGGGCGCACCCGCAGGATTTGGGGCATCTCTGCAAATCCCGGGAGGCTGGAGCGGCTCTCTGGTGAGGTGACACTGCGGAGCTGGGCCGGGTTAGTCTGGAGAAGGGAAGGCTGAGAGGGGATCTCAGCAATCCATGTCAGTGTCTCCCCGGTGTGTCCGAGGATGGGGCCAGACTCTCTTCAGTGGTGCCCGGTGGCAGAATGAGGAGCAATGGCCATAAACTAAAACACAGAATGTTTCCCCCAACATGAGGAAGAATTGCTTTAGGTTGAGGGTGGCAGAGCTCTGGAACAGATGCCCAAGGAGTGCTTGGAGTCTCCCTCTCTGGAAACATTCCAAACCCACCTGGGCACGTTCCTGTGTCACCTGCTCCAGGTGACCCTGCATTGATCTGCAGGGATCCCTTCCAGCCTCAGTTAATCTGTGATTCTGTGAGCTCCCCTCAGAGAGATGCCGAGCTGCTGGAGTGGGTCCGGGGGAAGGCAACAAGGAAGATTTGGGGACTGGAGCATCTCTCCTATGAGGCAAGGGTCATCCCTGCAGGGTTCATTGCTACAGCCACCCCAGCCCCCTGTGCCAGGGACAATGTCTCTGGGGGGATACTGGAAATCTTTCCTCACATTTTTATGACCCCAGAGTCACAGGGCAATGACAGGGACGTGGGGTGATGACAGGCCCAGATTCCTGTCCAGCCTGAGAGGGACCAGAAAACACCACATGGTTTCCAATGGGCAGCAGGTTCAAAGGAGGAGCTGCCCCTTGGAAGGACTTCAGTCCACAAATATCTTGTAATTTGTTCTGTCATCAAGGATGATGGAAATTAATGCAGCAGAGCAAAGCAGTCACTACTCTCCCAAAACACTCTACAGAGCCATAAAATACCAACAGCCTCACCAGCAAAAACAGTCCCTGCTTCAGACAAAAGAATTTCAGGTCGACACAACCTGAGCAGCAGCAGCACTGGCAAGAAATTGGCACTAAAGATAGCATTGTAAAAGTTACTGCAAATTGCAGTTCCTCTGCCCAGTGGATCTTTTATAGCTTTGGAGATGTGGTCTCCTTGCGAACAAGGACAGAGCAGCCTCTCTTTAATTCTCCTTCCCCGTCCTGTAAGACACACAGGTGTCTGTCAGTGTGACACTTGGTGACAGAGGGCCAGACTGCAGGTACACACATGCATTTATTTCTTAGGGACTCTCCAGCAGTTCAGAAAAATTGTGCAGACACACACACATATATATTTATATATATGGGACAAGCACCTGGACAATTGCTGGTCTCATGCAAATGCACTCTTTAGCTTATTCATGGGTCACCAGTCATGTGCTGTCACCCCACATGCCCTTGCCCATGAAGGAAAAGTGGCTTTAGAGGAATTTTGCAGCACATTTCGCAGAGCAGACAATGCCTCAGGAGGAACTGTCCCCACCTCTCTCTGTGTTACAGGAACAGCGTAAGGCCGGGCACCCGGATCACTGCTCATGAGAGATGATCTCAAACAGCCATCGAGAGTAATGCAGAGGGAAGAAATGCATGAACAGCTTTCTGGACCATATGGGATGTTCCTACAGTTGATCTGCACTGCTATTGAAGTTGCCAGGCACTGAGCTACCACGAGATGCACCAGTGCTGCTGAAACCATTATCTGGTTGTCCTTTTCTACATATTAAAGCATTACACCACTCCTGCCCCTTTGGTGTCTCATCTCATCTCTCTAGAAGTGTTTTTACCTGTCCAGAGACAGGAGGTCAATGCCCTCCACTTCTCTCCCTACAGGACCCCAACCCTCCTTCCCAACATTCCCAAACTCCTGCTCTCCTCAACTCACTGGCAGCTGGGGCATTAGTCTGGTCCGCTTAATTCTTTATTTCTCCATTGGTCATACAAGTACACACAGGTACAAACAGCTCCTCTAACCCACCTCCTGCCCATGCAAACCTCAGAGTCCTCCACAGGAGCAGCTACAGTGACAGGAAGCCACCCTGTGGCACTAACATTTCCCTTTGGGAGATCAGGAATGTGGGATCCCCTCACTTTCAGTGACTCATGCAGACACCTACAACCCCCACCACCAGCAGGTGACTCACACAGGTTTGGCCAGGTCAGCACTATCCACATCTGCTGCTGTAACAAGCAGTTCTCCCAAGGTCTCCTGTGCATCTCCAAGGAAACAATCCAAGGCCAAGGGAGTAGATGCAGCAATTAAAGAAAAAATTAATGCAAACTGTTGTGGCAATCAAAAGGCCAAAGTAAACTATGAAAGACAATAGTAAATTTATTACCAGGTGTGTACACTGCAGTGCCCACAAGCTTCTGGCTTTTCCACCTGTGCCCAGCAGTGTGCCAGAACCAGCTCTGGAATTCTGCATGTCTGGCTCAGGACTGAGTTAGGGCTGGATTTTCCACCCCTTCACTGTTCAAAGCTGGGCACAATCTGGATAGTCAGAGGACAAAGCTTGTCTCTGCCACCACAGGGGAAAGTGGGGTTCCTCTACATCCGGGTGAACTACGTGTGGTCCATGGGGACACACATGGATCAGACCTTGGCATAAAGTGAGGAATTTCTTCTGGTGCTCTTTGAAAGACCTGCACCACCTCTCACCAGCCTGTGTATAAACCAAAATAACTGCAGTAAAGTGAGAGCTTGGTAGGATTAGACCCACAACAGACTGTGGAGGAGGAGTGTCAACAATGAGAAGCAGTTTGGGCAGAGACTGAAGAATAGGTTTCATCTGGATGAAATTCAGTGCATAGCTCTGTGCAGGATCCATTCTGGAAAAATAACTCACCCACTCTGATTTTTCACCTGTTCCAGAGTCCTTACTAAATTACTCCCTGGAAAAGAGAGTGAAACTCAGGAGTATTCTACTTCCTCCTTGCAGGACTAATTACAAGTGAGAGCAGAAATCCTGCTGTGTGCTTCATCCTTCCACTAGTGAGAAATCTGCTAAACACAAAATATCCATTACAGAGGAAATCTGCTAAACACAAAATATCCATTATGAGGGTTATCCATTATAGCCCTCGTACAGGATATACATCTACAGAAGTATCTTCTGGTATAAGGTCTCCTAGAAATAATACAATTTCTATTATATTCTGCAGCTTGTACAAAATTTGCTCTGAATCCATCAATCCCTGCCCCTGCCTTGCACCAAGCAGGGTGATTTACAGGCTCAATACTCCTGTGCCATTTTGCTATCACTTTGTTCAGCTGTAAATGGCAGCCTGAGCCACAGGACAGGGCCTTACTGCCCTTGCAGTCATTCACAAAACTCATCAACACACTTGTAAAAAGCAAAGTGATCCTTCTCTGTTCCCCATCCAGAGGCCATTTGGCACCACAAAGTACACATTTACCTTAGTGGGTCAGGTCATGGTCCTTCCAGTTTTCCATCTGTCTCAGACAGCAGCCGACATCAGCTACTGCAGGAGAAACTCAATGGTCAGTTGTGGAATCACCTGTCCACGGGAAAATATGCTTTATAATTCCATGAGGTAAGAGCTGTTTATGCCCTGAAGCATGAAAATAATTTCAAATTCAGTTGCATCTAAATCAAGAGTGCCTCATGCCTGCACTGATTTCATTAGCTTATCTGAGACAGCTACAGGGAAATTCAAGCCTGCAACTAAGTGAGTAGGGCCTTAGGACCCAAAACCCAGTCAGCAAGAACATCAATAGAGTTGAGCTGTCATATTTGAGAGGTAGGAGAGAAGACATGAGTAGCTCTGGCAGCTCTCTGTAATCCCACGTATGAGCCTGTGTTACCCAAATATAAGGAAATGTTTTGAAAGCCAGAACTCAAGCAGAACAAAGGGACATTGGGTCTCAAATATAAAAGATTTTTCCCCCCTCTACTTTAAGACTGAATATCAACAGAGATGCTTTGTAAGAAGAAAGAGGTGTTCTGTAAGAAGAGAGAGGAAGCTGGAGTCTCTCACCTGTCTAAGCTGAAATAAGTATGAAATATTGGGAATGGAAAAATAGTATGAGAACCCAGGAATCCTGGCCTGTGTTTCAAACTGGGTTACTTGTAATAATTGTGTTATTTACTGCTTCTTCTAGCTGCTGGATCAGGTAGAGGCTGTTGATATTTATTCCTTTGCAGCCCATGGGAGTTGCAGGCTCTGTATGAAAACAAGATGCCATGGAAGTGTTTGTTTGCCAGGCTATTGTTTGTCCTTTTAAAGGCTGCAGACACACTCCATTCTTCATGAGAAAATGCTGGCTGCTGAAGGACAAACCAAAATGACTATTTAAGGCACTAAAAATGGAAATAATTTTAAACAGAGCTGATTAAAAGGAAGAAACTATTCTTCCAATGAGAAGTGAATTGCTTTCAGCTGGCCTGAGCACTGAGCTTTGCTTGCAACAAACCCCAAATACCAGTTGCCTGATAGTGCAAGTATTTTGAAGGCACTTAATCAGCCATGACTTTAGTTTTTCCTTGTCCATAACTGCAAAACAAGTCTACTGCTTCTGCTCATAAGGCTCAGTGATTATTCCTTTGGCTAGGCTGTTCTTTAGACAGAGTTTAAATCCCAGCCTTTCTTGCTACATCCACTTGGAAGCCCTCACAAAACCTTGATTGCTTAAATAGCAAGAGATTCAAGGAAAAAAAAAAAAATCCAGAAACATCACACACCTTTCTTACAACGTGACAGCTTGTGTTCTTCAAAAGACTCCAAAGACTGATAGTGACATGCCAAGTTTTCAGCACCTTCAGAAAAGGGGGGAAAATAGGGAGATGGAAGTACAAGTACTAAAGTTTTGTCAGGGAAAGACTTGGGTGTATTTTTCAATACAACACTCACTTCCAAAACACACAGAAAAACACTTAGAGAAGCACCTGGGTTTTTTTTCAGTTAGTACCTCTGTTTGCTCTATCAAAGCCCCTTCTTCAAAGAGGTTGGGAAAAAAAATCCAAGACAAATAAGGGGATAGAGTTATTTAACATAGGGTCCTCCTACAAGGTGTATCTCAAAACACAAGGAATATTCCTGAGGAAGGCAAAACATTCCTGTGTCAGATCAACCTGACTCATGACAATTCATAATATAAATATATCCAACTTTTTTCACTCTAAATCTGAAGATCAGTCCAGATTTAAACGACAAAGTAATTTTGTTTCCTACCTTGAAACTCTCATAATGACTATAGTTGTGGTCAGGATGTGAGTGCAAGGACACGTTTGGGTTCATGGTTCCAACCTTCCATCACAACAATCTGATTCCTCTTGTCCGTGCGTGGCAAGACAGCTGCTGTTTCACAGCTCAAAAATATCTTGCTTCACCCTGACAAAGGGAAATATCAGCTGCTTCTGAATGTGCTGGAGCTGATGAGAATGGATGGATTTTGGTAGAGCTTCAGCCCCTGCTGTAAACAAGCCAGCTCTTGCTGTGGCTCTGATCAGTGGTGGGATGATCACAGCCCAGCCAGCATGTGAATCCTGCACACGTGCAGAGACAGAAATGGGAACTGCAATTAGCAGGCTGCAGGATGCCATTCCACAGCCCTAAAGCCAAGGCTGTTGTTTGGAACACCTCTGGAGCTACAGAATTTCTCTCGGGGAATTCGTGAAATAACTCTCTAGTGAGTGTTTTTTGGTTTTTTTTCCTCATAACTAGATTTGTCCCTTCCATCTCAGGAGATCCTATGTGGCCCCTTTTGAGTTCACCTTCTTCTTTACTTATTAAAAAAATTCCTAAATATTTCAGTGGGTGCTCAGGGAAAACACAGCATCGGCCCCAAAAGCTCCATCCACCTCCTGCCTTTCTGTCCCTGTGTCCCTGCTCCCTTGGGGAACGGCTACATGGTTTGGGATGTCACTTCCCACGGGACTTGGCTGCTGGTGTGGGGACAAGGACGCGGAGGGGGTCGGAGGGTCTCCGTACCGGGGGCTGCGATCCGGGGCGGTGGCGACATCCCGCCGTGTCCCCACTAGATGGAGCGACAAACCCAGCCTGGAGCCGCCGGCTCTGCCCCGTGTCCCCGGTGCCCGGAGGGCTCGGAGGGTGGCCCCGCCAGCGCCAGCCCCGCTCCCGCATCTCCGCCCTCCGTGTCGGGGGCACAGCGCGGGGTCCCCGCGGTGCGCTGGGCTCACACCCCACGCTTGGTGCTCCAACAGGCGGCCGAGGTGTCGAGCAGATGTTTCTCCACGTGGGAGTGGGTTTTTCTTGGTGCTGTGGGCACCTCGGCTTTGCTAATTAGAATCCAGGCAGCGCTAATGAACCCGGCGAGTGAGCAGCAGCCCTGGCGACCACAGCCGGACTCACCCTCACACCAAATCATCCCGCAGCTTTGCTGAGCCCCTGGGGACTGGGCTCTCTGTGTGATGTGGTGGGGGTGTGGAAAACACCAGGAAACCTGGATATCCCTGGTCTGTGCTCGCCAGGGCTGGCAGGGACCCCCGGTGCTGGGGGACCCCCAGGAGGCTGCGTGCAGCCCGGGATTCTCCCTTTGGAACGGACCAAACTCAGGTTGCATTATCAGCACAGTTTAGTTGAAGGTGCCATTCTTCCCCCTCAGCTCATCTCCAAGGGATCTGTGACTCATTTGCCCTCACAAGCCTGGGAAGAGGAGCAGAGGCAAAGGTCGTGACCAAAGCAAAGGTTCAGCAGAGACAGATGGAAACTCAGCAGCTGACAGACCCTGTCCTGTCCAAATAGACACAGGGGACAAGGGCTG